TAGCTCAGTGGTTTCACCGCCTGCCTCACGAGTGCAAGGAACTGAGTTCGATCCCCGATACAAAAAAAAAAAAGTGAATACTCCCCCAAACTGTATATGAACCCATATCTCATCCTCAAAATGTGGTTTCACCGCCTGCCTCACGAGTGCAAGGAACTGAGTTCGATCCCCGATACAAAAAAAAAAAAAAAAAGAAATGACTAGCATATAGTTCAATTGAGTTTTACAATCCATTAATAATATAACTCATTTTTAGAAAAGAAAATGATTCCTTTGGTTCTTTTTTAAATTTGCATGCTCTTTTTTCCAAAGGCCCTGTTTGTTCAATTTGGTTTTTATTCCTTATATCTTTTAATTAATCAATTAAAAACCCTTTATCTAAGGTCTCTTTCATAGTTTTGCTATTATCTTGCATTCCCTGGGTACCAGTTCTCCTAATCGTTTCATTTGCCAGCTCTCCCTGATGGTGGTTATTTTCTTCGTGTGGTTGGTAGGTAATTGGTGGGGGCGAGGACCACAGAATTTGGAATGGGAAAGCTTATGACCAATTGTATGATCAGTCAGGTTTTGGGGGAGGGGTTTTGTATAAAGGTAACAATTATCAGATAGCAAAGGACTCAGAAAACTACTGATGTGTTCTTATTCTTAGAAATTGCATGAAATCATACACCAGTTAATTATGAGATAAATAAAACAATAATTTAAGAATGTATAAGAGGCCGGATGTGGTGGCACACGCCTGTAATCCCAGGACTCTGGAGGCTGAGGCAGGAGGATCGCCATGAGTTCGAGGCCAGCCTGAATTAAGGAGTGAGACCCTGCCTCAAAAAGCAACAAAAACCAACCAAACAAAGAAAGAATGTATAAGAAAAGAGGAAAAATAAAACACCAATGTTTGTTTTTTCCTTCTAGGAATCCATTCTGAGGCTATAATCTGAAATGTAGGCCAAGAAGCTGGGGCATAGCTCCATGAAAGAGTGTTTGCCTACCATGTACGAGTCCCTGGGTTCAATCCTTAGCACTAAAAAGAAAAAGACAAAACAAAATAAAATGTAGACAAAGAGCTATGCACACAGTTACTACTAAGAGAGAAATGAAAACAACTTAAATGTCCTAAATTAGAAGAATATGCATATGGGAGAGTTCTTGATGACAATGGAAAAGATTTATGATATAATGTTAATTTTGAAACAGAGGTTCAATAATATAAAGAAGAGGGCAGGGGATTTAGCTCAGTGGTTTCACCGCCTGCTGCGCAAGCGCAAGGACCAGAGTTTGATCCCTGGTACCAAAAAAAATAAAAAATAAAAAATAAAGAAAAAGGGCACAGAAAAAGGTTGGAATTAAATATGCCAAAATGTTAACTGTGGTTGTCTCTGGATATTAGGGTTATAGATAGGATTTTAAAAATTATTTCTTAGGCTTTTCCACATACTTTAAATGCTCCTCAAGGATCCATATTGATTTTAAAATCAGAAAATGTCAAAATGCATGCATTTAAGGGCCAGGGATTTAGCTCAGTGGCACCGTGCCTGCCTCGAAAGTGCAAGGTCCTGAGTTTGATCCCTGGTACCAAAAAAATAATAATAAAATTTAAAAAAATAAAAAAGGAAACTTCTAAGGGTAGCAACAGGCAAGAACTTAGATATCTGAGCAATATTAAATATGAAAAATAAAATACTGTGTTCTGATAGACGTCAGTCTGCAATTTATTCTCAGTATAGGGGTCAGCTACTCCTCACTGAGAACCCCCAAAGCCTCCTTATTTTACTGAGTAAAAAAGCCAAAGTGCTCACAATGGTCCACAAGGATGACCTCGCTCTGATCTCCCCTACATCTCTGACCTCCCCCACCAATCTTGATGCTGCTCCAGTCCTGTGGGTCTTCCCACTGTTCCTCAAACCCACCAAGCACACAACTGCCTCAGGGCCTTTGCACTTGCTGCATCCCATACTTGGAATGCTTTCTCTCCACATAGCTACATAGAGTGCTTCAGATCTCTGCTCAGATGTCATGTTATTGGTGAGCTTCTCCCGACTTGCATATAAAACAGCCCCTACTCCACTGATCCCATACCCCTTTTCCCCTTGGTCCTAAGCTCTTTATTACCATCTGCGAGGCGGCAGAACTTATTTTCTGTGCTTGTGGTCTCTCTCTCATTGGAAGGGCTATTTTTCCTGGAACACAGATGTCCCACAAATATGTGCTGAATGTCTGAATGAATGAATGCATTAGATTGTAAACTCTCCAAGAGCAGGAAGACCGAGGCTCACACTGCTGCATCATGCAAGTGCATAAAACAAGCAGCAGTGCCAAGCTGACAGCCCAGGAACATTTCACCCAGCACTCAACTCCCTCCAGAAAAACTACTTCCAATTACAGCCAGAGATGATGGAAGTGAAGCACCGAAAGGAAAGGAAGATAAGAGTGCTTGGGCAGAGTGGTACAAGAGTTTCCATCAGAAAACCCACGATCTTCCATTAGGATTTGGCTTTTGCTGTGGGATGGAATTCCACATTCCTATCAAGGTCTTAGGCCCCACTACATGTGGTTCTGAAAATCTGACATTTTAAGCGCCCTTTCTATTTAGCTATCTCTTTGTTATGATTAGGTATTTTTCTAAGAAAAAAAAAAAAGGCACAAGGAAACAATTGCCCTGTCCCTCTCCCACCCCAGAAGCAGACAGGAACTCCAGCCCCTGGGCATGGAACCCACAGACCCATAAGCACACGTGTGGCTGTTTGTGGCTCCATCCACACCTGCTAAACACCCCTGGAGTGCCTGGTGCTGCAGAGGGGACATTTCTGACCTCGTTAAGTTTCACTGGCCTGTAGAAATTCAAGGACAAATTGATAGCATAACACACAGCTTCATATTTTTTGCCTTAGGAAAGATAAGAAAATTCATCCTAAGCTATTTTGGACTTTTCTGGGCACTGGAGTGCTCTGGCGATTAGGAAGGGCGGGGAGGGGGGGCTCCCTGCAGGTGGCAGCCCTGCACTATTAAAGCGCATGGAGGTAACTCGTGATGAGGCTGGACAGGGCAGTGGCCTCAGTGGCCCTCTGCAGAATGATTAAATTTGTGAGATTCGCCTTTCCTTCCACCAACTTCATTTCCTTGAGAGCTCCTTGACCTCTGACCTCCCACAAATTATTTGCAACCATCATTCCATGCTGCTAAGGTGCCTCCCCATGAGATAATGTTTTAAGGTATTTCATTCCTTGTGGATATGGGGTATTTGCATCTTAAAAGGGGTCCCCTGGACACCAGAAGGACCTCAGATTCAAAGGGGAGCTTTCTGGCAGGGCCGGGAGGGTGCTCTGATATCTATGGAGTGTCAGATATTTTGTACACTTTGATGAGGTTGCTGAACTCTCACAGCAGCTTGAAGAAGTGGGCGTCATCACTGCCATTTGGGGATGAGGAATCAGAACCTCCAAGTAAGACTGAATGCTCGTTCACACTTCAAGGCCCTGCTTGCTACCTCTTTTTTCTACGCACAGAGCAGTAACAATGACAGGAAGTAAACTTATTTGTGTTCAAAATCAAGATATATATCTCAGTGGACCAGAAACTCAAATGCTTACTTTTTTTTTTTTTTTTTTGGTACCGAGGACTGAACTCAGGACCTTGTGGTTGCAAGGCAGGCATCAGCACCACTGAGCTAAATCCCCAGCCCAAATGCTTACTATTTTAAGGGACCAAAGGCTACCTGCAGAGATCTGGGCCCAAATGCAGGTAGAGGCAGCTGGGAGATTGGTCTTCCAAGGATACAGGAATTTAAAGCATCCCATGGGAGGCAGGAGACCAGAGCCAAGACACTAAAAATGGGGCCTGTGAGGGGGTTTCCCACCTGGAAACAGTGGGGATGGCTGGAGGCTGGAGCGCAGGTGGAAAAATGGGTGGGCAGCTGCACCGACAGCAGACTGCAGGGCTCGGGAATGATCCCATTATCCCTGTGGACACCTGGCTCTGCCCCAGGGGACCCAGGACCCCCATGGAGGGAGCCAAAATACCACTCAGCAAGGAGAGCAGTTGGGAGTTACACAAGATGGATTGAGAAGCTTTAAATGTGTGGTTTCCAGAAGAAGAAAGATGGAATGGCAGAAGAGCAATATTCAAGGATGTTAGGGTTGAGGATTTTCCAGAACCAAAAACATTTTATAGATCTTCTGATGAAAAGCACATTCCAAGTGCCAAGCACAACCATGGAAAGATAAATCCATATCTGGAAAGTGAGGGGCTGCTTCTCTTGCATGGCTCCTTCTGTCCCCATGGCCCTCCCCAGAAGCCACACATTTTGGCCTGCTGTTTGGCTCCATTCTGATCTTGGTGCAGTGAAGAAGGCCCTGGGTTTGGGGTAGGGAAACACAGGTCCAGGCTCCACCCCACTCCACTCTGCTACTACCCAGAGTCCTCACTGACACTGAATCTCTTCTCCTACAATGAGGTCAGAACTGGAGTGACAGAACCTAGCACCAGGAGGTGTTCTGGGGGTGGCAGCATCATGGCAAGCCATGGCTGCACTTGTTCTCCAGCCCCACACCCCACCAGCTCAGAGTCCCCAATCACAGCCTCGTGTCGCCATTTCCCCACCAGGAAAAGGGGCTAAGAACAGTACTCACCTATGCGGTTATGTAAGGAGGAAAGAGACTCATAGATGTAAGGAACTAAGCACCGTACCAAGAGATTAGCAAACACTTGACTCAGGGGAGCTATTACTTTACCTACAGCCCCCTCCACATGCACATCCACTCAGTGTAGGGGGCTGCCCACCCTAACCACAGCCCTCACAGGCAGAGAACCAGGCCTACTACTACCTCTGCACAGGGACGATAACCAAGCCAGCCGGTTGTCCTTCCCCGCCCTTCTCCCCAGGACCCAGGTGCCCCCCCCCACCTCCAGAGAAGCCCCTGCCAAGAACCATCCAACCCCCAGCACCCCCATCAATCAGGCCCAGACCCCATCCAGCCCACCCTCCCTGCCACCAGGGGCCCTACCTCTCTTTGCTCACTGCAGATCTTACACAGCCACAGGGGCCGCTTCTGGCCTGGAGAGGCCTCGATCCCACATTTGGTGCAGACTTTCTACGAGAGAGAGGGGCACACAAGGGTCAGTATTTCCTCCTAGGCCATGGGGCTGGGACAACTGTAACCAAGGGCCACCTTTGCATCTTCCACGGGATGGATGGCTTTTGCTCCAGGCTACAAGGACAGATCACCCAAAAGGCATAAACCATCCAGCAAGCTTTGGTGGGCTTTGGGCACAGTGGATGTGCCCCATCCATAGATCTCCATGCCATTGATTCCACCCCCATAATTAAGTTCTGTTAGGACCACATCCAAAAAATAAGCTTGATGACAGTCACAGCTGCATCATTTTCAGCTGCAAAGAACTGGAAATAACTCAAACGTCCAATACCCGGGGAAGATTCAGGCAAACAGAATGTGATATGGCCTTCATGTGGCAGATTGTGTGGCTACCTGGAAATCAGAGCAAGACGTACCGTACTCCGTGCACTCCTCCATCACCATGCAAATGACTCACACGTGTGTGAGACAGGTTAGAAGACGCTGCAGTATTATGAAATCCCAGCGATAGCTTGAACATGTGCTTCAAGCCAAGCTCCCTCCCTTAATGATTCCAGGACCCAAATTCTGGAGCACTGGGCCCATTCCCCAGGTGAGGAATCTCGGGTGTGTAGGAATTTGAGAATTTGCTCAAGATCACATGGCCAGTAAGGATGGGGTTCAGGGTTGACTTTGGAGCAATTATATTACAAGCTCTGGACACATACAGGCAGAACCCAGAGTCTCAGGTTTTCCTTCTGCAGAGTTGTTTAAGCTCATAACTTCTAAATACATATTTTGCTTCCCCTAAAGGCACAGCAACAAGCCACGGTGAGGAAGGCCAGGATAAACACACTGGAGGCAGAGGTGGATTTGTTGGGGCTGAGATTGGTTCCCAGCCCACTGGGGGCCTATGATTCAGCAATGGCAAAGCATCTCCTCCTCAGGGGGCTCAGAGCCTCCAGCCCCGCCTCCCCCACCGAGGGAGGGCTGGATCTGTTGCTTGGCCTTTTCTGCAGGCTGCCAACTGAGCAAGAAGCACACCTCTCCACGGAGAGGAAAATGTCACCAACTTGGCTTCCCAAAGCATGTGTCATCAGCCTGATTGGGTAGTTGAGCCCAGTGCTGCAGGAAGGAGGGAGCCATCGCTCACGGAAAGGAGGCTATGACACATTTATAGGAGTACGGACTGGCTGCCACCCAAGGCTCAGGTGCGAGAAATGTCACTTCTCTTTTATTTCTCCAAATAAAATGGACTCCGCTCTAAGCTCCCGCCCATCTGGACTGGCAGGGAAGCCCCTCACAGGTCCCAGTCATCACAGGGGCCCCTCTCCAGCTCTCAGAAAATCCTAGAGTAGGTGGTCCCACACACCTGGGGAGGGTCTCCTAGGCACTGTGCATGCTGTCCACTGCTGTCTGCTTGCCCTCCCAGGAAGTGGGAGGTGGGGGGGTACCTCGGTGCAAGTCCTAGGTCTGGGATCTCTTTTTCATTTGTTTGTTTTTTGGAGTTCTGGGCCCAGAGTCTTGTATATTCTAGGAAAGTGCTCTACCACTGAGCTACATTCCCAGCCATTTTAAAATTTAATTTTAATTAATTAATTTGGTTGGTTGGTTTTTTGAGATAGGGTCTCACTATGTAGTTCAGGCTGCCCTTGAACTATGTAGCCCATGCTGGCCTTGAACTCATGGTAATCCTCCTACCTCAGCCTCCAGAGTGGTGAGATTACAGGTGTGCACCATCACATACAGCCTAGCCCTTTTAAAATTACTTTTTATTTTGAGACAGGATTTAAATTGCCCAGGCTGGTCTTGAACTTTTGATCCTGCCTCAGCCTTCCAAGTAGTTGAGATTACAAGGTACATACCACCATACCTGGCTCAAGGGTTTGGGATCTTTGCCAGGTGAGGAGTGAGCCTCTTCAGGGACCAGCAGCCTATTTCCCTGGGCCCTAAGTCACCATATTTGACCTTCCTCTCCAAGCTGTCCTCCTAACCCCTCACACCACCCCCCCTAACCCTCCTACCTCTGGGGCAGGATCTCCATCAACCCACAACTGGAGCTTCAAGACACACACCATGGGGCTCTCTTCCTTGAGTAAAGCAGAAAGGAAGGAGATGCTGACGGTGGCTGGCTTTGTCTTCCTTGTTAATTCCTACTGTCTTCTCTATACATGCTGTGAGTGTGAAAACATGTGTGGTCTTCATGCAGGCCAGATTTTCCTGCTGCACTCTTTACACACTTATGGGGTTCACAGAGAGCTCACCCTAAAGCACACAGAGCACTTTTCCCTCCCAAGGTTGTTGAATAAGACTGTGGTCTTGAAAATCAGGTGGAAATAAAACACCAAACTACCATTTATGACATGTTATGTATACCAGGGACAATGATACCCTGGCCACAGGTATAAAGGAGTTCGATGTCACAATTCCTATTATACATTCAAATGGAGAAAGGGAGATGCAAAGATGTTACAGACTGCCCTGAGTCTCAGCTAGTCAGTAACAGAGGATCTTCCAGAGCTCAGGAAGGTGACTACACCTCTTCTCCCAGCTAGTGCCCACACAATCCAGGGAGCTGGTTCTACTCAGATAGCTGGTGGCTCACAAGTGCCTGGACAGAGAAAGTGACACAGGATGACTCTGGGACAAGGTTTCACTGTGGGTGTAGGTACAGTGGGGACCTGTTCACTTGCTTCGGGATGTGGTTCTAGGCCAGAATCTGGCTCTGTCCTGAGCTATCTCTCAGGAGGGAGGAGAGGGCTTTCTAGCCACCGACAGGAAGCCCAGGCCCCATGGCCTCTACTGACATTCTGTAGGCTTCCCCATAGCCTTCTGGACACCACGCCATGGGGAGTCTCAGACAGCTCAGTCTGCTATAACAAGAATGCCTCAGGCTGGGTGGCAAAATTCTCTCTCACAGTTCTGGAGGCTCACAGTTCTGGAGGCCCACAGCTCTGAGGAGGGTGGCAGCATGGCTGAGTTCTGGGGAGGGCCCTTCTCCTGGTCTTTTCTTTTGTAAATGCACCAGACCCATCATGGTACCACACCTCTCAAAGGTCTCATCTCCAAATATCATTCCTCTGGGGTGAGGGCTTCAACATACGGATTTTTGGGGGTGGGGGGATAAACATTCAGTCCATAGCAGCCCTGCACCAGACCGGGCTTTTGCATGTTGAGAGCCCCAGAAATGGACAATCATCTCCTCTACTCTGGAGTCACTTAGGGTTCCCAGTCCTCCTGGGTGCTCCAAGGCCCACCACCCTGCACTGTCACCAATGTCATGTTCCTGAAACACTGTTAACCCATGCAAAGGCAGCAGGCACTGTGCTAAGGCACAGGCTTTGGGGGAGGCAGGCCTGAGTGGGCCCTTGGGCAAGCTGTTCCGAGCCTGTCCATGTAAGATGTTCTCATCTGTAAAACTGGATAATATTTATCCTCTAGGGTCGCTGTGAAGATTAACTAAGATACTCATGGAAAGCAACCTGCACATAATAAGCATTCAGTAAATGCCACTCACTGTTATTAGTGATACCCCTGCACCCTGTTCTAAAACCATGCACAATTCTTCTCTAGGCTAATGCAATAGCCAGAAGCCACAGGTGGTTATTTAAAGTGAAATTAGGGGCTGAGAATATAGCTCAGGGGCAAAGCACTTGCCTAGCATGTTCAAGGCCTCAGGTTCAATCCGCAGCAGCACAAAAAAATTTAATTACAATTCAATAAAATGAAACAGTTTCTCGGTCATGCTAAACTCATATCAGGTACACAACTGCCACATCTGGATGGTGGTGATATGTGAGACAACACAGAAAAAGGGCATTTTCATCATCACTGGAAGTTCTTCAGGGCACACTGGGCTGCAAGGTCCACCCTTCAGCCTCAGTGTGCAGTTGACCTCAACTGGCTATTCCCAAGGCTCCCCACAACACCCCACCTTCCAATCCGATGAATGTGCTCTCGTGTTTGCCTGCGTCAGCCTGACTCCTGTGTCTACCTCCACCACCTCTGACTCTTCCTTCCCCACTGGATTTACTAATCCACTTAACCATCTCCTGTGGGGCACCCTGGAGAGCACATCCCTGGGAGACTGGAATGAACAGGGCAGGGCCCAGGTCTCACTGTGCACCCGGCAGTGCACCACAGCTCGCTGAGGCTGCCAAGGCAAAGGGGTGTTCGACTGCTTGGCAGGAGTGACAAGTAAGCAGAGTTCTGAAGGATGAGTGTGCACATGCCTTTGGTAAATACCGTCTGCCTGATTAAGCATCTGTGTATTAGGGGCAGGAAAGGAAATGAGGAGAGGGTGCAGGAATAGCATCCTGTCCTCCACCACAGACCTGGCTCACAGAGCCACCCAGCTCAGGGACAGGAACAACATGGGTCGGTCACTGGTCAGTTCCAGTCTGAGGCAGAGGGTGGGGAGGAGGGATGGGTGGCCTGGCCATGCTGGTGTGGGGAAGCCCCGCCTTTTCCAGAATGGGGTTCAGAGCTGCCTGCTCCCCAGGAGGAAAAAGGGCTGTGCATGGCCAGGGGACAGAGCTACTCGGACTCCATCTCAGGCAGAAAGGGTGGCAGTGAGGGCTTTCCCAGGTGTCCCCTCCACCCCCCACCTAGGTCGCTATCAGGGCTGGGAAGGTGACATGACAAGCCACACCCACTCCCACATGTGCACTGCCCCACTTCCAGGCTACAGCCATCAGCAGTGGAACCCACATCTGTTCCTGCCATCTCTCGGTGCTCTTTGTGTGCCTGCAGCCACAGTCTTTGGCTGGTGGGGAAATCAGGAGCTCCTAAGGGGCTAGGGTCAAAAAAAGACAACATGCTCCAGTTTGAATAATACATAATTGCTGCTCTATTAAATCTCAGATCAATAAGAGAATAATGAGCCTTTTCCCCTCATGGGCTTGGTCTTTGTTCCCAGGTTCCAACACTGAAAATTAAGCAGCTGGTATTTAAAAAAAAGCGTGAGTGGAAGAGGGCAAGCCTCTCCAACTTACACCAGAGGAGCCCCTCTCTGTACC